CCGTAAACGTGCGTTTTCGATATTAAGTGGTATAGGTACGCCTTTTTAACAAAACACCATCGATATACTTAAAACGAAAAGTACAATTTCGTTTCCACGACAGTCCATATTGTTATAGTTCAGTATTTTTTTTTTTTTTTTTGAAAAAGAAGAATATTAATTTCTCGTTATATAACATCGTAAGACACTGCAAGTATCTACGTATCTATCATTTATTTTCCATGCCATTTACGAATCGCCTACGTTCATTGCATGCGCACACAACATTACCATCGTTTATCGCCTTTTAAATGTACATCACATTGTATTGACCAGACGTTTGTTGTGTATTCTAATATTATGCGGGCGCATTGAATTTGTCGATTTTCGATCAATCGAAATAATCAATAGATTTGATCCGTTTGTACGTTATAATTAGAGTTCGAGACTTATTACGCTTGAAATACACAAAGAAGCACTTGAACACGCCAAAAAAAGTCGTGAAAAAAAACACTTCGAGCAAACATTATTAAACCAAAAGGTTAGAAGGGTTTAAATGTCCTCCCTCTAACAGCTTTAACTGATTAAATACAATTTTCGGACGCCGCACAAATTATTATGCCAAAGTTATTTTTTTTTATAATACGCGCAATTTTATTTAAGTAAAATCGATTTATTGGTAATAATTTGTGCCGTGTCAGAAAATTATATTTAATAATTTAGAGTCATTGGACAAGGTACATACACCCTTCTACCATTTGGTTCAATAATATTTGCTTGGACTGCTCTTTTTCAAAGCTTTTTCGACGTTTTTAAGTGTTTTCCTGTGAATTTTAAGTGCAATGAGTCCCGAAAACTAGTTTTAATATACGCAACGCGATAAGAAATAGAGAGAAAAAAAAAACACGTGGTTCGAGTTATACATGTGTAGGTATGTGTTCGAAAACTCTGAAAGGATAATGCGCGGACAAATTTCTCTCGTTTCGCATGATTTTCGACGGCATAGTATGCGCCACGTCGTCGGATTACTGTTGTAATAAATTTAAAATCAATTTGCGATAAACATAAAAAACGTCAAAATTAAAAAAAAAATATGCTCGATATAGTAAATATAGTTGTAGCCAATAAAAATATACTATCTAAGTATCTATAATAGTTGGTTATCGATAGTATAATACAGTCAAAGAACACGCTTGCGGGAAAAAAAAATCGTTGGACAAATAAAGATTTGCAAAATGCGTATTGTAATATTAAAACAGTTTAAATTAAAAAAAAAAAAAAAAGAATAAACGCGCTGCCACATGGATTAAAATTGCATGACCTAGTGTAAAACATAAAAAAAAAATAAATAAATAATATCATCGTGAATTTAATAAATTTCGACGTTCAAAGCTCGTGTTTTTTTTTCTTTTTTATACTTTTTTAATAACCTCGTGGATTGCATACTATACTGCATTTCCTGTAGGTATAACCGAAAACGATTTAAATTATAAAGTTGCGTACAATTTCGGTTTTAGGAAGTAGTAATAATAAAAATAGCTGCTACTGGTGATGGGCGTGCAGAGCCGGGATTTCGGAGGAATTAGCGCCCCGAGGAAGGGAGATTAATTAATAAGTCTTTATCTCGTTAAGGTTAAGGATTTTTTACTGAGATTAAACAACAAATTAATAAAATACGGTTATGAAAAAAGACGTCCGATTATAATGGGGACGGGTGCAGCCTCTGTTATAGATAACTTAATGTTTACCTGTAAGCAACGATAAACAATTGGCTATTTCTTACAAGAAAAAAAACCGATTCTGAGCGGAGTTCAGTTGTTAGTGATACTTTTTCAACAAAATATATGTCATTCTGTAGTAAATTAATTAAACAGGCTTTATATATTTTCTTAAATAATGTTTGATTGATGTTGTACGGATTTTCCCGATTTCCTCGCGTTTGTCCCGGTTTTTCATATTCGCTGGAAAAACTCCCGAGAAAATCGAAAAACAACCTCTCTAAAGTACCTCCCTAGTGAAATTGAATTTTAAAAACATTGCTGTCGTCACAAATTTGAGCGAAATTGCCGGCAGAAGTGTTGTTCACCGGAAAAAAAAAAAAAGAGAAGACCGTAATATATTTCGACTGTCGCATTATGGTAAAATGATTATGCAGGTAAAAAAAAAAAAAAAACAACTAAATAAACATCATTTTCGAACCATTATCCGCTCCACTCGGAATCTAACTATGAGTTATTGTTCTTTTTTTTTTGTTTCATTGGAACGCAGTGTATAGCGCCGCAACGGCCAACTGCGGTAAACCGTACACGGTTTTCCGGACGTTATAATTTATAATATTACAATACACTGCAGTACATGCCTGATGCTGTACAATAATGCAAAACTATGCGATCCGAATGACCAGTGACGCGGGCGTGTGATGGTTTCGATACGCACCTACGCATATACACACGTTATACAGGGTGTTATTATACCAGAAACGCGTGCCGATGGGTATTTCCAATTTCGACATTCCGCGATATTATTAAAATAATGTACGGGTGGATACGTGCGGTGTACAATCTTGACACGTCTTGCGCGTAAATCGTCGCCCGCCGTCGCCGCCCCCGACGTGCACATTCGCATTCACTCGACAGCTCGCAACGATTCCGGTTCGCCAAATACAATCAGTAAAATTAATAATAAAAAGAACAAAAAAAAAAAAAAAAAAAAAAAAAAAAAAAAAAAAAAAAAAAAAACAAAATGAAAACAAACTCGAGACGGCACTTAACTGTCCAAATAAACGCAAACGTGTTTTTATATAAATTCACCCTCTCGAATAATATATACGTCCGCTTCTCGCTGCACTATACATATGTGTATACGCGTATACCGGAGTTTTTTTTTATTCTCATGTATAGCTACTATATGTCAAGAATCCCTCGGTTTTCATATACAATGAAAATAGCGTGTGCGTGTGCGTGTGTGTGCGTGTTTTCTTATTTTTTTTTTTCTATACCGCGATTATTTTACGCACAAACACGCTGAGGCACACACGTGCGGGGTTGAATATATTGTATGTACAGTATAGTATACTCGACGACAGGGAGTTGGGAAAATTTGCAATTTCCTACATATCTGTATACGTGGTCGGTCCGCCGCGGTAATGTAAAATCGTTTTCCCGGAGCAAAAAAAAACACACCTCGGTCAACGCGTATCGCGTCGTAAAAAATATAAATCGTTGGCCTGGTACAAGAATGATATCAATCTCAACGAAAATAATAAAATTTTCAAAATAAATTCAAAGTTGAAAACTGTAAATTTATTTCCGATAGTCCGGAAAATTTAATGTTAAGTCCTTAATTATTGTAATATATCTGGTTCTTTTTTTTTTTTTTTCGGACATTGGCTTTTCTTGTACGTAGCCAAAAATACAGTTGAGCGATAGGTGAAGATTTGGCCGAAAGAAACTCATCGGAATGTCTTAAAAACACATCCCAGGATAACGGGGACGGGTGCAGCCGCTGTTATAGGTAATTCAATGTATACCCGCGAACAACGATAGACCTTTGTTGACGAAAAAACGATTCTGAGCGGAGCTCAGTTGACAGTGACGTTTTGTCAACAACCCCGGATAGCATATCCGTAACGATAACATTATATTAATATCGGTTTTTCATCGAAAAATGATATCGATTAATAAATGTCGATAGTACATCAAATAAATATTTTTTGTAAAACAATAACGTGTATACATTGTTAATACAACACCGTAAATGAAACACGCGTGGTACATCGTGAATATATGATGATTGTGTTATTAACGAATTGTTGAAATGATATTTTGAACACCGTGATCGTAACATTCTTAACATCTGCATAATTACATTACGATTCGAAAACGATTTCTATGTTTCTATGCGATACTCTACCATAGACATTACGATAATAGATAATATTACAGATTTATATATATAAATTTTCTGCGTTGGAACCTAGCGGTTTACCATCGGGGTTCGTACCGACGTACGCCCGCACCGGCATAAACAGTCTACATAATAATAGCAACTTTAGCGTTTTCCGAGCGCAGACCCAACCGTTACTGACGGCCGATTGATCATACATCTCAGAAATCGTCGTGTTGGACGATTTCCGTAAACACATATCATGGCGATTAAACGTGCGCGGAGAACACAACGGGTCGACCGAGATTCAGCGTATCATCACCGTACATAAAATGACATGAACCAAAAACATATAATTTGTAATGCACGGCTGGCAGTTTGATTAAATTTGTATTATTCTCGCATCTGGTCATTACATTATATTGTACAGTAACGTGGCCAAATTTTTTTATTTTTTGTGGAGGGAAATTTATTAATTCGTATACATGTTACCATATTTTGCTGAACGACAAAACACAGCGAAATAACGATCAAACAAAAAACAGGGGGGGAGGCATCTTCCCCCTAGCACTGGTGTGTACAGTTTAGAGGAGGTTAAAGTTTCTGTAATCCCAAAATGTCCGCAATTTCGAGATGTCACTGTATAGATTGAAGATAGGTACTTATGTTAAAATATTTTGAAATTGACTTATTTAATCATAACCTAACTTCTTAACAATTAGGTAGGTAGTCTACTGGATAGGACGTTAGTTTAGCGTAGACTGGGCCTTGGGTTCAGTACCAAACTGTGGCAGGTAACAAAATTCCGTTTTTTTGCATTTATTTCTTAACAAAAAAAAAAAATGCGAGAAGAATATAATATTTAAAATATTTAATAAATGAAATTCCCGTAACCAACGGTTATTTTATAAATATTTTCTAAATTATTTTTTAAATGAAAAATGTAGAAAAATTGTATAAATCAGCATGTCATTAAACTACAATAAACACCGATAAACAGGATCGACACCCATTGCGGCGTGTCCCGTCGTCCCGTTGGTGGGACTACTGTCGTATACTGTCGTGGTATACGCGTTGAAAGTTGGACGGATTCGCTTTGCGGCCGCCGTCTGTGCCGCGCGTGCCCGACCACCGCCATGTTTACCGCTCGCCGTTGGTGTGCATTTTTTTTCGTACGGCATGCCAATCGTTCCAACGACGGTTGTCCCAGTTCGCCTCCGACGCGGAGTTTTACCGCGGTAAGATATTTTGGTAGTGAATGATCACCGAGTCAACTAATTCCCCGACCGATATGTGCGAGGGCCAGCGGGCCGACGTCAGCGTCAGGTAGCTTACGAAAAAACAATTCTAAACAGAGTTCGGTTTATAGTAAAGCTTTGTTGTTTTGTTTTGTTGTTTCATAAAAAGCACCACCATTAGTAATCCGGGCATGTCGTCAGTTTTAAAAGTTTTTAACAGATAAGAAAAAAAATAAAAAATAAAAAGAGCCGATACTGGGAACGGGAGCGTATACTGTTGTAGGTGAAAAGTTAGGAAGGTAGGATATATAAGGTTATTTCATTTATATCTGTAAGCAATTACATATAATGGTAAAAGTCTAATATAAGTATTATCACCAAGTTTCAAGACTCTGAATGTATTTGTAACTGAATTACAGAAAAAAAAAAACTCCTAAAAATACAAAATACCTCAAAAGTTTTGGCGATTACACCGTAAGAAAGTAAATCAAAAAGGCAACAAAAAAGATTTATTATGATTTTTCGATTTAATTATTTTTTCTGGTAGAAAACCTCGTCCATTTTTTTATGAAATAATGAAATCGTGAAATTGTATGCTTTCCCGCGTTTTTTTCCCACTTAAGTGCTTTTATTTAAATAATGGCGTCGAAAATTACCTGTTTAAAATACCATCTAAGCAACTTTATCTTTCAGAAAATTTGCTACAAATAAAAATTGGAGCAAGCTGACTAGGGCATAACTTATTCACAGGCTAGAGGAAGAAAAAAATACAAACATCTTAGTGAAACCATAAGCATCTTTGCTCCACTCAGAATATAACATGGCGTTGCCAATGCACCAACTCCATTTTTGTTTCCGAAATTTTTCTACATTTGCAGACAAGCAAAACGTCTACATGGCCCGGACCAGTGAAAGGAATTGAGAACAGGACCGGACCAGACGGATGTAATTAACAAAAATGTAACCGGACCAGACCATACCTGGTTTTCTACACAATAATGACCAAGACCATATTCAAATGTAGGACTAGGTTAAATTTTGTCGATTTTTTTGAAAATATTATATTAAGTAACGACTATTTTTGTAACATATTTTCTAATATTACATGAAAAGGGCAAAGGTCGAAAGATAACATCGTCAGAAAATTGCGTTCCATACAAATGGGCTGTTTGTCGCGATATCCGTTTTCATTTCGTGTATTCGGATCAACATTCGTGGACGGCATGGACCGGACCGAACTATTTAGAAATAGAAATCGAACCCGATCGCTGTGAATTTCGTAAGAGAAAAAACATAATGTCGTTCAATAATTTGTTTATTTTTTTGATTCCACACCCGAAACGGAGGAGAAAAATTAAAAATGGATTTCAATGTAATTCGAAATATTTATACCTGCAGTTTTGAAGCTTCGGGCTCAAAAGATATTATTATTTTTTAACCCTATTTCCCGTAACATAATATTGGCTACCGCCAATACGCGGTTATCGTAAGTTCAGATCGGTTTTTGGATTTTCATACGTAATGGGAAATATAACGTATTTATACGAACAGAAAATATATACGACTTGTTACACTGTATATATATTATAACATGTTATAAGCTACCCGTGAAATTGACAATAAATAGTAAGTTGTTTTTTTTTTTTTATATTTAATGTTCGTTCAAGAACGAAGCGTTTGCGTTTTCCTGCACCTCAATCACTACAGTGCAATTTATGTTGTCTACCTACCTCCGGATATATCTCCTTTGCTTTATAAAAACAAAAAATAATACTAACATTTGTGTTTCTAAAATTCGAAAGGGATTTTGACTATTGAACACTTTTCGAAATTTACATACACAATTTTCGCCCGGTACCAAAAATAAAATGCTTTAACGTTATACTGAAAACAACGACAAACTATTATTATCGGATAGTATTCCTGATTCCGAATATAGTATTCTGAATATTGTATTCAAAATAATTTTTAAGTAAATTAATATTTAAAATTACTTATTTTCGTAGGCATTCAGTACTGTGTTTCGAATAGTTTTAAAAATGTTTTACTAAAAGATGAGTGCGTTATTTTTCTCGGAATACACCTTTTCAGTTTGTAAAAATACTTAAATTTTTTCACCCGTTACTTTAAAAGTATGTGTAATTTTAATTTTAAAGTTACATGAGTTCAAACATTTTTCATCCGAACTCGACCTTGCCTTTTTTTTCCCCCCGTAGGCATTAAATATTCTAAATACTTTTGTCGAATTATTTGGAATATTTTGAAAATACTTTTATTTTAAAGTATTCCAAAGCGTTTAATGTACGACTTTTTGAAAAATGTTGTGCCCAAGTCTAGCAACCGAACGATATTGTGAGCCGACCTCGGTGAACTAGTAAGATTTTCACACGGTCGTATGCTTCCTTCTTGCATACTGTTTTTTACATTTTCAAATTCATTTGAACGATCAGTCTGCGTTCTCAAAGTTCGTAGTATGAACCCTATCCGAGCGAAAAACCAACACTTTTGAACGTATACAACGATGACGGACGACTTCCCGAAACCGTAACGGTTATGTTTCCCAATCGTCGTTGGGTGGGGAGGGGAGAGTTAGAGGGGGAAAGACACATCTTAGTCATATCGTGTAAAATAGGGTTTATAGCTTATTCGCCACGCTCGGAATCTAAAAACTAATTTACGGGTTATTATTTTATAAATGTGACAAGTTATGGCCGCCGCGCGCGCATAACGTTTTCAACGGCATTATTATTATTTATAACGGTGGAAATTAATTGTTCCCGAAAAACGCGTACGTATATAGGGCTCGAGCTAAAAACGTCAAAAATCGCGAACATTAATTATTAAAAACACACGGGTTTCTTATGCTCAGTTATTGTTATTTTCCGAGAAATTAATTAAATATTAAATAATGCGCACCGTTTAAATTTGATCGTATTTCATTAACGAAATCCGCTGCGTTCCCTCTTCGGACTACATAATACGACGACTATATTTAATTGTTCCTAATTTCCATAATAAAGTAATTAAAACAACAATCGTCAACTTTTGTGTATTTTTTTTTTCTCGAGTGCGAAATACATTTTTAATTTTTTTTTTTTTTTTATTTAATTTTCCTTGCGTCGGACGCTTTTGCCGTCCATGGCCAGACGTCTACGCGCGTTAATGTTATTATGACGGTTGTTGTTCGAACATATCGGATCTGATTTATTCATTTGTCTGCAGACAAAATAACCAATACTTGCACGTATAAATACTGTTTCTGTTCACCTCGGCACCGTAGCCCGCGGTGCTCGAATTCGGGAAAAATAAAAAGAGTGAGACTATAAGCTTTAACAAATAGAATAATAACTATTGTTATTAGCGTCCTACGTAACTTTATTGAATTTTAAAAAACCACGGTACGGAATCTCCCAGCGTCTCCTCAACTGATCACAACTCCTCAAGAGATTTGCCCGCCACCAACACTGACTTTTACATTATCGAGATTTTTTTACTCATCTGTCTTACCAATTCACTACACTCGGTTATTTCACCGACTCTTGTGTTTTGATAATATTGGTCCCCTCGTCGTTGAACGATGTCCAAACCGCCTGCAGACACTGGTCCGCGCTTTCACAAAATGTGTTACACGTACTCATGCGCGCATCCCGGAATCTCTTTGTTTTGTCTCCTATGCTCACAGCATCCCAGTTTTCTGTCATATTATTTACTGGACCACAAGTATTTCTCAGTTTTTCGTTTCCGAACGATATAATTTTTGTATCCGTTTGGTCAGTACGTATTATTATTATTTTAATTTTAATTCACATGTATGTTTTCTGAAAAAGAGAAACGGCCACGGAGACTGCGTACAAAACGTAGCAGAATATAAAGGACATTTTTTTTTTTTAAATCGGACAGACCACTATTTCGGGCGAGTCCGAGAGTTGTACGGAAGTGACTGTTTTAATGCCCTTGGCGTCCGATAAACTATCTCATAAGCCGTTTTGGATTTATTAAGGTCCCTTGCCATTTAAAATACTATTTAGACCCGCAGATTTATACCTGAATGTATCAATAAAATTTAATAAAATTTATTGCATTGGACGAGTATATAAACACACCGAAACCGTGGACCTATAGTTATTTTCGATTTACTCCGGTATAAAAACTGTCTAAACACTTCCTATCCAAAACGGATCGCTCACCGAAGTATTGAAATTCTTTCAGCAGGTACACTACTACAGCGACATTACAATATCTATTGTATTAACCCTATAACCTATTATCTACACACATGGAATAACGTTGAATGCAATTTAAGAAGACGTGATACCTTCCGTAATTAAATAGAGTGTTTCAAAGGGTTTAGTATACACAATTTTTCGAAAGTTAGAAACACGAATGTTGTCAACTGAAAAAAAAATCACTTTTAAACACAAGCACCGATTATTTTGTGTTTGTATCACAAGTATTTATTGTTTAATCGTAAAATTAACAAACATGTTTACAATGAGAGACTTTTTCGCGCGGACTGAATTTTTTTTACTGTCATTGAATATGATTCCAAATGATTATCAAATGTAGATTTTCGAGTTAGAAACATTTTTTTTCTAATTTTTTGTAACATTTTCTATCAGAAAGCTTGTGCTAATCAAAAAATGACATGAGATATGTTTTGTAGAATTTTAGATTTAATTAGTTTTTCTGTTTTAATTCAATTTGTTATAATTTAAAATTCCTGCAATTTTGACAAAATAATTATGTCGGCAATTTTTAGACGTGATATCAGCTGCTGTATAGAACTCGCATGCAACTTTTGATCACTTTTTCTCGAGAAAAAGTAATTAAAATAAAATATTATAATATTATAACGTCGTCATGTGTGGGATACGTGTATAAGAGAAATAACTTTGAATTTATACTCATACGTCGCGTTATTCTACGTACAAATGAATGAATAATACGTGCTCTAGGGATATTATCGTGCTATCAGAACGTTTGCGTTTTTGATTGTGATGGTTTTAAGATTTACGCATTTTTAAATACCTGTACATCTAAAATGTATTTGAGCCATAACCGCAAAATGCTGGATTGATAAAGTTTAAAAAATAAAATTATACTTTTAAACGATAAAGTAAAAAAGAAATGGAAACTAGAATGACTTCATGAAATTTTATTTTATTTTATTTTTTTTTCTTGGACAAAAATACACTTTGACTTAATGTAGTGGACCAAAACACTGACAATTTGATTTAAGATAGGTATAATACACTATTGCATTGATGTAACATACTTTCCTTGACACTTCACAATGTTTTCTTGTTAAACTCATTTCATTTTGGGGATTGGAAGAAATTATAGTAGTACATCGTACAAAGTAATTTTTTCCTTGGGAAAAACGGATTAGATCAAATTCGCAATTTTATGCTACTTTATTACTATAGCTCGGATTTATACACAGTTGCATGTTTTTTTTTTTTTTTTTTTTTGAACAGTCCAAAACTTAGCTATAGATAAGTTACAAGTTTGAATACTATGGTCAATAGATCCGAAATACAAAGTTTTATTTTGCATACTTTAATGATAATCAGTTTTTAAATTCATGCATATTTCGTGCGTTTTTAGTGCATATAATCCCAGGCCCTACTCATTACACTATACCGTTCTAAGAGCGCATTATGACAATTTGCTAGAGGTCGATCTATCATCCGACGTATAAGGTACCGCAAAATGAGGTGACTTTAATAATGTGAGAAACAGACGGGGAGAGGGCGAGATTGATTTCGATTGTAAATATTAAATCTGTTTACGTTGTAGTAACACTTTTTATACAAAAATAATAATGTTTTCCCGGTTGATAAACGATTAAAACGTGATAACACTGCATACAATTTATAAAGATAAGGCAAAGACATTGTATGTTTTATTAATATGTAATATTGTGTGAAATGATTTGATTTCGAATCGTTTATTTGAAAATACAGAATAGTTATGAATAATATAGTTTAGGAAAGACGGGCATGCGTCGCACGTGGGTGAGTCACCGTTTTAGGTGAAAAGTTGGGAAGGTAGAGGGAAAATTTATTTAATATGTATTTGCACGCAACGATTAATCATTGCTTACGAAAAACGATTCTGAGAGGAGTGCGGTTAATAGTGTTGCATTGTCAACAATATATATATATGTCATTTTATAGTAAAATGATTACATATATAGGTACATTATATATTCTGTTTGATAATATCTGTTTAATATTGTACCTGTTTGGTCGGTTTTGCTATTCAAGTCCTG